ATAGTCATCAAAAAATAAAGATATCAAAAATTATTATACCTGAAATAATTTGTCAATATCACACGATGAAAGAATAAAACGTTTGCTAGGGTTTATTATTGACTCATTATTAAGGAATACAACCATTAATTTTTTTATTTTGTTGAAATGGAATCGTCAAAAAATGTTAGAGCAGCTGTTTCCTATGTTAAGTGCCATAAATGATTATAAATTTTGTTTAACGCTGCTTTCGCAATTAACGGTTGTTCATATAACTTTAATTCTTTGATAAAATTTAAGTCGTTATTCGGAGCTTTGGACGGTTCAGTACAGTTAAACCAGGCTTTTAAATAAAATCGAATAATAAAAATACATATATCTCGAATAGTATTTATTTTAAAAGTTTTTAGTAAATACTGTTTTCGGTAAAAAAAAACCTTTAAGCAATATATTGCTTTACTCATCCAACGAGCTTGGTGCATGGCTCCAGGAGGGTGTATTTTAATTTTTTTATCTGAGTCACCATTTAAAAAAATTATAGATAGCTTGAGCAATTCTTTATAATCGGATGATTATCTCTAAATCATCCGATTCCCAACATTTCCCTAGAAAATTGGAGAATATCATTTCCCAATCATCTAACGCACAATAGCTTGTTCATAACCCGTCGAATTTTATGGCAGTTTTAAGTACAAAAAACTGAAAATATTTCGAAAATTAGCGATTTTTAAATTTGTAATTTTTTTGGAGGTTTCTCCCATTTACAGGGAACGAGGGAAATTTTTTCAATTTTTGAGGATACTGCCTTTGACTAGATACGATTTGTGATCTTTTGACGTATCGTTGAAAGAAATCGGTTCGGTGAGAGCTGAGAAAAAGTGGTAACAGACAAAGAAAAAAAAATAATAATAAAAACACATCATAGAAAACCAATACCTTCTCAGCTTCGCATTAAAGCTAAAATTACATAGATAATTTTATATTTGGATTCTTTTAGTTAATTTTTTTTTCAAATTATCAATCATGAAGTCTTTTATACCTTGTAACAGTGAAAATTTTTATTTTCAAAGACAGCATACATAATTAACTAGTTTATTTAATAGATTATATCTGTTAAATAAACTAGTTAATTAAATATATTAAAAATATTATATAATATAATACAATACCTTCTTATACTACGTTTAAAGTATACTTTTATTATTTATCTTTAATAAAATAAAATTATTTTCATTTAATTCCAAATTTTAAAAAAACCATTTGTAGTCTTTCTTTTACACAGGGGATTTTTGACTAGCTATAGTAGCAAGGGTCGCCATCACCTAGGCGAGGTGTCACACCTATTAGAATTGATTATCGGACCATAGGTGGAGTTTAATTTTAAGTTAATTAAAAGTATATAAGTTAGGATTTAAGTTAATATGTTGTTATATGTATAAATTACTATAATAACTCATGGTTTATTAAACACAATAATGACAATCTAAGTTGTATGTGGTTAATATGTAAAACATACCGTAGCCCATGTCTAGATTAAGGAACAAGGATAAAATGGACGCGAGTAATTAAGTTACTCACGCAATAAAATAAATATTACAGTTGTAATTAATAGGGTAATTAAGTTAAACATGTAGAAAAATGCGAATGCATCAAAAACCATGTCTACAAATAAAGGCAACAAAAATAAAATAAAATATTTAAATAAAAAAACAAATAATATTACAAATGTGATGTGGCCGGACATCACTTGAACCCACCTGTCCAGCCAATCGGGCCTATGAGGAACCTGGTCCACTCATCTCTCGTCGTTTCCTCCGAGAGGCGAGTCCGCCACCGTAGCATACTCATCCGCCAGAGCGCCAGCCGGTCCTCGGGTTCGAGGAACCGGCCTCGCTCTCGGTGGAGCTCATGTCCGGCGAGCAGGTCGACAGGCGGCAGTGACGATAGGATACCTGCCGCCACCACCAGGATGTGTGACTATCGCACGGAGTTGAACGCGTTTCGGATGTCCAGGCTTGTTAACATGATTTATTTGTTTGTATTTTGGAAAAAATGTACATTATAGGATGTTTTGTAATAATTCTCTGTGCTTTTATTACAACTTAATCTTTTGCTTGTGTATTCTGTCAAGCTGTGGTGAAGCATAAGAACATATTTAATTTATTATAAAACTTCTAATATTCAGTTTAAGTTAGAAAAGATTTAATCGAACAAGTATAATTTAATATTGTGCTGTATTATGACATATGAACTTCTTCTAACACAAAAATACATTACCAAAATAAACACGAATAGATGATAATAAAACAAATAAATAACACATAAATAATAATTATTTATATTTATATTAATATGTGTAAATAGATTATACATATAAATTAAAGAAATAATAGTTCAAGGCTTATACGAGTAAGTTATTTCTTATTGTGCGATTACAATAATTTATTATGTTTTTCACGCGATTAATGTTCTTCTTTGTATTAATATGTCTTACTAGTAGTTGTTTTAAATTGAAGAAACCAGAACCAGAACCAGAGGATAATGTGTTACGTCAACAAGTTGATGAATTTAATAAAATTATTAAATCTAAAGGATGGAAATCAGTAAATTGTTTTATTTTAATGTCCAACACATATAATTTATATGTACAAGCCAATGCAATAATTAGTTCATTTCCTTCTGTCAATAATGTTGACAAAGAGTCTTTAGATACTGCAAAAGAGAAATTTTCAAACGCATTAAGTTGTTTTTACGGATATGTACTTTTGAAATTACATCGATTTTATCGTAATATACCGCCTATATATATACCGCCTAATTATATTGAAAAGGACAAGTTGAACCAATTGAATAAATTAATCAAAATAATTTGTACGTTTAAACCATTACTAACTTGTATGGCTAATGCACTAGAATGTTTTGAAAGTAGTTTCCAGAAAGATATACTCGAAATTCTCAAACAATCATTAACATTAACTGAAAACTTGGAAAAACTTGATGAAACATATGATTATGATGCCGTAATTAAAGAAATTAATGATTCTACTAATATACAAGTAGATTACAAAGACTATAAAGTTAAAATATCAAAAAATGAATGTATCTTAAACAAATATTTCGATAAATTACTATCAGTTTTTGATAATAACAAAGAATTCTCAACATTTAAAAAGATAGCTCGGCATAGTGTTAAGTTGTTTTGCAAAAATTTCAATTTTACCCAAAAGGTATAATAAATAATATATATATTTTTTTGTTATTTATGATGTACTTTGTGATATACTAACAATAAATATTAATTAAATATGTATTTTACCACCTCCAATTATAAAGTTTCTAAATAAAACTTTTTTTGAAAATGTTTTTTTTTTCAAAAGTATTTCGAAAAATTAATTAAGTATTTCTTAAGCTTTATTCAAGAGTCCCATCTAAAACTCCTTGGTTAATATATTTACCTTCTCATCTTGTACAAAAAGTAATCATTTCCTTCAACACAATGTGTGGTCATGTTGGAACCAAGAAAACCGCTAACCTTATTGCTCAATATTGTTATTTTCCTCAATTTCATAAAACTGTTAGACTTCTAATCCAGTCATGTGACATACGTCAAAGAACCAAACATAGTAATACTCGCATGGAGGTTTCTATGCAACATATTTTGAGTTCTGCTCCTTTAGAGAGATGTTTAGTGGATATCTATGGTCCTTTACCTACAGGTCAGTTTAGATATTCATATATTTTTGTAGTCTTAGATAATTTCACTTGATTTGTAAAATTGTATCCTCTTTGTAGGGCTACTGCTAAGGCATGTTGCCACAAAATTTTAAATGAATATGTTCCTTCATATGGTTCTTCTTTAAAAATTGTGTCTCATCATGGCAGACAATTAAAGGGTAATGAAGGAACTTGGTCGTATGTTCAGAACTTATTGTTGTGAACATCATGAAGATTGGCCTAATCTTAAAATCTTGTTGATTTTTACATGCTCCCCAAGTAAATTATAATAGTAAATTAATAATAGCTCAGGAATTTCAATTGTCACAAGCTAAACGATGTAAGTTACGACATGATCAAAAAGGCAAAGCCATTAATTATAAAATCAATGATCTGGTTCTTCTTAAGACTCACAAACTTAGTTGTAGTGTGGATAAAAAGATTGCTAAGTTCTTTTTATTATATGAGGATCCTTACAAAATAAAAGAGATTAAAAAAGAAAATGCCTATGTGTTACAATATTTACACTCCTTAGATGTTAGAGGTACATTTAATGTAATACACCTAAAACATTATCGTTCTCAAATAGATTTATTGTCTTGATATTATTAGAAATTGATTGCTATAGATTATTGAAAATATTCAAATTATATTAGTTTAATTAAATTGTTTTAATTCAGATTATTCTATTATATTATACTTCATTACTGTTATTTTGAAACAGACTGCTTTCGTTAACGTCATTAGTCTATTTGGGGGGTTCTGTAACGTAATAAAATTATCATGAATATAAGGTCACAGGTAACCATATGCGCGTCATATATCTGTAGGGTCAGTGTTGCATATACACACATGATTAGTTATTAGATAAAATATTTTCCCTAACACCTGTGAGCCTTGTCCATACCACATTACACCACATTAGAATGGTCACACTGTCACCTACCCTTTACATGTGCTATCGAGCCTGTTTTGAGAAAAGTACGGTTATGTCAAAAATCATCATCATCATTCACTTTTCAATTTCTGTTTTATTCTCCTACTGAAATCACCAACCATTCAATTTTTTTGTGGCGTTGGTTTTTACGAATCCGTATGGAGGAGTAATTCTGTAATTTAGCTTGGCCATCAACCTGGCATCAACAACGGACATACGTGATTTGGACATCTCAACATCTTCTTGTTAAGTGGTATATTGTGTTTTTTTTTATATATTTTGTCTTGCGTGGTAAGCATGTATATAAATTAGTTTGTTTTATGAATTGGCTAACTATTTAGTCCTATTTTTTATTTACTTAATGACTATGAATTGTCACCATAGATTGAAATTAGTTTGTATGGTCAATCCTTTCTATGCCTTAGTTTTTTTTTCTTTCACCATTCGTGAGTTTACAGATCCTCGGGTGTAGTCAGGGTGGACATGGTGAACAACTCAATGGGTCCCCTACATTTATGTAGAGGATACCCTTTGACGTTGGTGATATGTCCACTTTATCCTGACCCATGCGTTGGATTTGTCATGCCAATGATACTTTATTCTGTTGTTTTTTTTCCTCTCTTGTTGGTTCACTATTAAATTAATTATTTAATATTATGTACAAATCTCATTTATTTTATTTAACTGGTTGGATTCTGTTATTACTTGATATTTGAATGTGTTCTAATAAAATGAACCCTAAAATACTGCCTGTGTGGGTCTTATATATACAACGACGTCAACCATATGTAGTTGTACGTTTCATAAAAATACAAAAGAGCAAGGCTATAAATACTCTAATATGTCTATATATACAGGGCCGGATTTGACGGAGGGTTTTAAGGGCACTTGCCCCGGGCAGCAGATGTTTGGGGGCATCCGGATGCCGAATACTATAAAAAAAAATTTTAAACTTTTTAACCCTCGGCTTATGAAAAAATCAACTTTAAAAAATAAATATTGTTTTGTATTTATATAATTTTGTCTGCAAAATTAATACCGATATACGTCACATGATAACAAAACGAAATTGGGGCATACTGCAAATACAATATAATACTTTAGTAAATTGGTATAAACGTTCGAGTAATTATGTCATTTATTATTAAACAGCGTAGTGGTAGTGCCTGGAAACCCCGGCTTTGATAAGACGTGACTTTGACTTCTACGAATCGATACCATATTATAATAGCGATTAGCGTAGGCCGTCCGTCGTTGTGTTATTTTGTTTTCACGTATCTTGGTTATCCTTTTTATTATAAACATCATAGTACCTATCAAAGTTGGAATAAAGGAATAAACACACTACCAACAGCTAATTCAAACGTTCAGTGTCCAGTGATCGAACTATTGCGTTTTGCATACATGTGTGTTAAGTTTCGTGTAATCGTGTGCGTAATTTTGTTGGGTTTTAGCTTCGATGCGAAGCTGAGAAGGTATTAATTTTACTATGATGTTTTTTTTTTTTTTTTNTCACAGAAAACACCAGACGCTTCTTTCCATTTGATCTATTCATATTTATTTGTCTGCCTCACATCTTCGTTAATAGCACCGTTTTTTTGTGCAAATGACTAAATATTTAAAAAATTTCACTAGTTCTAACGTGTAATTAAAAGCCTCAAACTTGAGATAGTTATCGAAAGCTACCGCAAATACTTTTACGTCTAAAAATTATTAACCTAACTTTAAAGACAATTAAATCAACAACTAATTATATTGCGCACCAAAACTGTCAGCAACAGTGTATTAACATGACGTTAATACATTTATAATTTTATTGAAAACCCCAGTTATACCGCATGTACATTGATCTAGTGAGTCATTACTAATGACCATCGAACAATAGTGTTTGATTGAGTTTTATAATTGGGTAAAAAACGAAATCGGTAGCGAACATATTTCGATTGATAATTATTTTGCTTTCACTCTGACTATCGACGAATGAAATTTAAATGAAAAATAATATTGGTTCTCCGTTTTTAATCAACAAAATATTAAAAAAACACCATACAACCGCATGGTTGGGTGCACGGTACGAAATTGCAATTTGATTTTTGATTAATGTCTAATGGGCTGTAAAACCGATTACACTGTAAATCCTCAACTACTCGAAAAGTTTTAATTAATCAACAATGCACCTAGTAAGGCACGGTTCGGTTTTGCTGAGAAAGACGGACACGTGACTTAGCAAATACGGGTGTTTATTATAATTGCTTAATTGTAATAAAAATAGTAATCGTGACGGTTCTCCATATATACTGTGACAGCTTATTAGAACGTTGCACAGTTGTTTACGGCAGTAATTTTGATATGTTATACAATATGACAATAACAGAAACATAAATAGAACGTCGCTACCGAATTGCTCGTTGCCCCATCGTCTATACTGCATAAAGGATGTAATAACTTTGAACCACTATTAGTTCGCAAATTACTATTTACAATTATTTGCACCTATAGTACTTGTCCTATTATACAATAAATCTATTCAAAAAGCAACATCGAAATTCATTATTCCCACGTTTGTGCATGTGTGCATAATGAATAGCATAAGTAACAAAGTTCAGCGTTTAGTTTGGCCTACTGCCCTTTTTATTTATTTCCACCCGTTTCGTTCATTAGCTACCAAAACCAATATATGACCTATACTGTTAGCAATGCGGTAACACAGCCTATTTATTTTGTTATTGCTTTATTGCCCGCTGCAAGCCATTTCATTTGTTATTGTAACGATGACGGTCAACAAGTATAGTTCTTAAAACAGAAAATGTAGAGTATACTAACGCCTCGAGATGTAACTGAAACTTTTGTCCAAACACTATTGATATTTACATTTCGTTTACTTAACCCTGTCCACAACTCATTTCTTCCGCAACAGATCAAGTATAAAATTATATTAACAAGTTTCTATTTAAATGTTATCTTCCGTTATCGAATACTGAGGGCTTATATAATCCTAAGGCAGCGCGCTATCAAATTAACAGTGACCTCTTAAACTTGTACCAGATACAATTCACTGGACATAATAAGAAGGTACAAGATATTATATACGTTTCAACCATAGCGAAATTTGCTTTACATGTACATTACATGAGAAAGCTTATGTTTTTAACCGTTTGATGTTTTTAAAATGTTAGAAATTTATAGTTTACATTTGAACTCTGGTCAGATCTGCAACAGCAATGTCGATAATCACTATTTGCAAACTCACTGATCTGTGAGTTTCATTTATTATTTTGTGGGTGTGTAAAGATCAGTCGCGTTTCTCTTCCTGTACTACCATTCAATTAATTTTTCATTATCGAAAGCCGTAGTTAATAGCCTCAGTTTAAGCAGGTACAGTATTTATAATATCAACGATTATGCGTTTAGGTATAATAACTTGTGTAATGACACAGTGTTTTGCTTGTCAACAATGGCTGATCATCAAAAAACATGTAATTATGAAACCTATAACCGATAACCATCCGCACCGTCATCCATAGTTTTTATTTTCTACAAAATTTAGTCTTTACAATTATTACACTCGGTTATTAAATTACAATCACGCTGATTGTTCACCCACACAGTTTCATTTGTTATGCGATATGCAAATCATGTGAAGATAAAATCAGATAGTTCCTAAAATAAAGTTGTCGCGATCATTAAAACATCATCTTTAATTGCAAAACTCTATATAAAAGTCCGCATAAATTACTCTCGGGGCATTTAAAGATACACGAATAAATCTAATCGCGCATTTAAATGTTAAAATATAAGAATAGTAATAATAACGAATATCTTTACTAAAAAATGATTGGTTACCGAACTATTATAACGTTCCATAATCTTTGTGTGTATCTACTGTTTATATTTTAATTAATAAAAATAAATTCTAAATAGCTCATATGCCATAAGCTCTTATGTCAGTTACGATCGTTAATGAGTACAGTCTGCGTGTAAATTATATATACGTTGAAGTTTCGTTTTAATTTATACATAAATGTAAAAGAAATTCTCGAATTTCAACAAAACAATGCTCAATTATATTTAAACCGTAGCAGCTCCAATTATTATTTTTAATGGAACGAACTGTTTGTTATTTCTCTTAATCACAGTGCAATTATTGTTCATCGTATTAACGCGGCGGCTACAGCAAAACAATGGGGATCTGGGTGTACCTAGTACTCCACGCACGGTGAAAGTGCTGTGGACTGGGTCAGTATTGCATAATGTCGCGTCCTTGTTGTTCTTGATATATAATATATTATATATATATATATATTGCTTGTTAATAAATTTTATTGTATATGAAATCTTATTTGTTTGATAAATAAATGAGCTTGTAAGAATTAATAAATGTTCATCCATGTTATCTTAAATTATTATTATTATTCATAACCTTTCCCCATAGGATAAGGTACGAAATTACTGGTGCTCCGGCTCTGTCTCGGCCCAGGGTGGACCCTCCTTGGGGTTCTTGTAAGTTTAGCTTACAAAGTAAAAAAGTTAATTAAATAAAATTTTAATTCAAATCAAACCATTTTAGAATTTCAACAACAGGGATATTTGTACAAAAAAACAAAAATGAAAGATAAATATGGTAACGAATTACCAAATTTTATTTCAAATGTAATGTTAAGTGTAATATTTCAAACTAAAAAAAATTGAACAATGCAAACATTTTGGTTTAAATTTTAACAAGTAATTAAAAAAACAAGAACGTTTCGCAAAATATTTCTGTTTTTAACGCTTTTTAAAAAATAAAGAATGAAATAAAACACAAAATGAATGAAAGGGGGGTGTAGGATGATAATTATGAGTTTGCTGCAAGTGTAATCATGTACGTGTGATCAAACAGCAGTTACCATGCCCGGCTGACACTCCGGATTATCTGCGGGTGTCGAAAGGCCGTTTTTATAGGAATGGAATAAAGGTAACGCCTAGGTATGAGGTGCGGATGAAGTGCAAGACACAAGTACTTCAAAGAGGGAACGGGTAATTGAGTATGAGGTGTAAGCGAAGTGCAAGACACAAATACTCTGAAATATCTAGGACGAGAGTAGGTAGGTAAAAAGAGAAAAACAAAGACTTGAATTTAGGCAGTAAGCCGGGCACCGACAACCGATTACTGAAACTAATGAATGACACAAAGCACTGGAATTGACTGACCACGATGGTCAGATATTTTGCGTTTAAATAGTAATTCGGGCAATTACCAATTTTGCAATAAATTTTAATCGTCAATTCATCAGTCTCTAGAAGCGGATGCGCTGTCTGTATTTTATTATAATAATTGTCTACAATAATGGTAACGTGACGCCATCACAGTATAATATGTTTAATATGCATGTTATTTTTATTAAAGGTGTGTTTTATTGCATACATTTTTAAGTACATTGAAAAATGAAATAAATCTTAACTACCTATAACAATATTGTTTGAAAACCAAATTGTGTACAATAAAAACTCACAAGGCACTATCACATTTTCTTTTACATGCTTAACACTTTTTTGTTAAACGTCAAAAACTTTCTAATTATTTAGTCTGCGCTTACAACATGCATAATAGTATCTAATTGTAGTTTTTAGACGACTAAGACCTTTCAATAACAACCAACACCTCTAAGCTAAACATTTCAATATTTCAGGGATGTTATTTAATGAGATATTTATATGAGTTGCAGCTTCAGTGCTATAGCTGATGTTACTATCTCCTGAAATTTTCAAAAATAAAAGAAATAAAATTATCATTAAAATAGTGAAGTATAATTATGTATTTATATATCTTATAAATTTGTTCATATGTACTCTCCCAATTTAAAATCTCATTAATCAGATGTAATTCTATTAGTTTAGATGTTTTTTTTCCTTGGCATAGTTCACCATTATTATTTATTTTATTAAATTTTAGCTTTTCAGTTTCCATCCTTTGTTTTATATAATTTTGTGGACCATCTAAATTACCATTTTGAGTTATATAATGAAACAAAATAATGATGTTGGGTTTGTAATCTTAGAACTTTTGATACTACAATTTATATAATCAAATGCCGAAAGAATGTCTTTAAGTATACAGTCAAATATTATGCTTGCTACAGTTTCACACTCAGCTACGGTAATATTAAGATCTAATTTCTTCAATTTTGGTTTCTTAATATTAATCTGCAATAAACATTACTATAATCATTATTTTTTCATGTGTTCTGTACATTACATTTATAACAATTATAATTTACCAGTAAATCTGCTCTGGCTGAGTAAGTATTTGAATGTATACCATTACCTACAATGCTCAGAATAAAATCCAAAAATAAATTTCCACTTTTTTCAATTTAACTTTTGTAAGAGATATTATCACTATGCCCACCATAAAAATCTTCGCTATTGTGTCAAACGGACATGAATAGTTGATTATGATTTTACCATAATTTGTAACTGTGAAGCTTTAAAGTTTATTAGCTCGAGAACCATTTTTCAACAATGGTAATCTTTGAATAATTTTAAATTTATTTACTTGGTTGTGTTGTAATGTAGGATTTGGACTAATATATGATTTTGAGTTTCATTGACGTTTTGTTTTGCGATTCCAACTCTCTACACTTTTGAGAAGTTTACCACATTTTCTAAATCATTGGATTTATCGGCGGTAATTGGAGATGAATTTCAATTAAATATACATATACTAGTTGGTGAGAATGTAAAGTTACTTTCCAATTCACTTTTAATCACATCAAAGTTATTTTTTTAACATTTGAAACAGATTCTTATATCATCTATTTTTTGATTTAAATAGGTGGAATTGCATGATTGGAGTATCACAATTATTACATTAAATTTTTAGTTGATTTTATTTTGGTATGGCCTTTTTTTATATATTCTAAACATAAAAAAAACACAATATAATTATTAATTCATAGGTGAATAAATCAGTGACGTTGAACGATATTTTTCGGGTACGAAGAAGTTTGTAAAAAATGTGTTTTATTTTATGCCCGGGATCTGAGGTGGAGTTTCAGCTAAGCAGAGCCTAGTATGAGAATTAAAATAGTTAACATTTTTAAAAAGTCGTGATTTATTTGATAGCTTAATAAATCAAATAAAGTCAATTATGTAGAGTAGAATAACTCGATTTCGGTTTTCGATAATATATAACTTTTTTTTAATAACTATGTAAAAAATACTAATAACACATTTTATTTTAGATTTATGTGTAAAATTATGACTAATTATTTAACAAGAAAAAATTGTTTTTCATTGATATAATTAAAATGGTTTCGACTTTATGCAAAACATTAAGTGTTGTTTTAAATTTAGTTAACATATAAAAAACACAATAAATCTAATTCATTTGTAAATTGCAATCTAATAATAATCCACATAATTATTATTCGATGAAATATGTAAAAAATTTATATTACACATTTTATAACGAGCTTTAAAAAGCTTTACTTATAAAGTAAAGTTTTAAAAATGTTTTTCAGATACGAATTTAAAAACAAACATCTAAATAAATAAAATATTGTGAAAGAAGGATCTAATGTTTTAAAGTTAGATACAAACACCTGTTGTTTCAATAAGTAATAATACAAAACTATGATCTGATATACTGTATTTAGAGTAATCTATTTATCGTTGACACTAGCTTTATAGTAAAACTTATACTGTAAGAAATGATTCAACAATAATTGTTTGAATTATTCCTATACGTCATTATTATATTTTTAATATACGTGTTCATTTAACACAGGCAGTGTAATTTTGACATAATGCATCTCACTAGTCTAGTGAAGAGTCACGTTGTTATGTAATGGCTAGTGGTGGTGCTAATTTGGAACTGGTTCATATAGAGAGTTACATAGATATTGGGGATGCATTGTGTGTGCTCAGCTGACTCAACAAATCGAGTACTGACCGATTGACTTGTGTATAACTCATTTTATAATTGGGGACATACCAAACATATGACCCACTGATGTACAGATGTTGAAATGTACAAATTTTGTAACATAACAGTGTATCGCCTCTTGTTTTTGCAACGAGTACAGGTATGGTTTTAATGTGATGGATGTCGTGTCTCTTATAACGATATCATACTCGATATGCTTTTTGCGTCGCACCATGTCATAAAAAACCGCAGCGTTATTTTTCACTGTCTGTGTTAATCATTCACGTGTATGTGGGTCACCTGCAATATCTACTTTTTACAGATCTATATTGTGGTGAGTGCGGGGCGTGCTTGGATTGGGGTACACGATGTATCGGTGGTCGCTGAGGTTTTCCCTGTTCGGGAGAACCGACCAGCCGGACATGTGCGGGTGCAGCGACGGGGACACCAGCGTGACGTCCACCATCAAACTCGAGGAGTGACCCTCGGACGTCGGGGTAGAGCCCCTATTGGCCGACACCAGCCCAAGGGCCGATATCAGGTTATGATTTTTTCTTAATAAACCCTAAACTTTAGAGAGCCGTGGAGCGCTTAATATTTAATAAAATAAAATATTTTTTTTACAAAAATTTTTTTTTTATTAAACTAAATCTAATGGTATAAAAAAAAAATAGGGTTACCATTTGAAAATATGAAGTTGACACTATTTTTAAGCATAATGGGATGGTGGTAAAAATTAAAATTTTCTTGTGAAACAGCTCATCAAAAAGATCCATAATGATTAAAAAAAAAAAATTGTTTATAACTCTTATTTTTTCAGAGATAATTCGTGAGGCATAGTTAGTCAATCACCCTGTATCTCCTGATTTAAGACAAAAAAAAATCTTCACATTTTCTATTCCTTTTGTTTTAATGGTCGTTGATTTCAAATTAAATATAAATTTTTAAGTTCATCTAAATTTAGGAGTACAAATAGGGCAAACATTTTTATGAATTATATGGAAATATAAGTTTTCCAGGTTACTAAATAATTTCTTTTGTATGTTTGGGTAGCCACAATAAAAATGTTATAAATAATAAGAATGAGAGTAGAATTGGGAAAAATTTATTGGGTATGAATGACAAATATGTATACATTATGATTAAGACTTAACTGTTGCCCTCAATTCAAAATCTTCAAGAGCTGATCTCCACACCTCTAGCCATTGATTAATTTCCTCCCTATTTTCTCTTATTAACACTTTATCGTCAGCAAACAACATTCATCACGACACCTCTCCTTGTATTTCTCTAGTAATTTCATCTATCACTATAGAGAATAAGTAAGGGTTTAAAGCAGAACCTTGGTGCACCTCTACTTTTACACGAAAACCTCTGATACTCCTCCTACGCTTTTTACTTTATATAATATTCATATATTTACATCTATAATGTGTTCCGACACTAGTGCCTTGAAAGGATGCAGCACAATAATCACCAAGACAAAAAATTAACATTAAAAATATACTCGTAAAATTGTATTGCGTTGTCCGCCGGCGCGATCTTCGTTGAAACAAAAACATTAAGCTCTAAGACTAGCTACCCAACAAAAAAAGCGCACAATAAATTATTACTATTAAATAAAAGTTTAAATTTGGGTTGAATTTATTATTAAAGTAAAATAATTTTAAAAAGATTCAATGTTTAAAATACTATATGATATTTATGTCCACAATAAGAAAAATAAAGCATTATTATTTAATAAACAAATGAACTTAAATCAAAAGATTCACCAAAACAAAATTCACTTTAAAATTCCTAAGTTTAACTTTAATTTTAGAGAAAAATATTTTAAGTTCAAAAAAACCCAGCACAGGGGGGTCGCGGCACAGTGGTGACGTGGCATAGTTGGATCAAGTATAATGATATCTGACAGTGATTAAAATCACTATAAAAAAAAAACGCTTCGATGCAAATCTTTAGATAGTGTTTAATTTTAAAAAATTGGTGGATTATTCCAAAAGCTTCATAAACTGCTAGTTCCTTATTAATATCCTGATTAAGATAAAGTATTTCGAATGAAAAAAGGAATATTAAAATATAGTATTTCCCATAAAAAAATTATATTGATCAATACACTTTTCAATATGTCATAGCATTATAAAGTTAAAAATGTAAAAAATAAAATCGAGAATTTTCACACAATAATAGCATTCGGTAGCCATTTTCACCGTGAAGATAAAATAAAGTCCGAAATTTTTTTTTTGCATAATAAAGTATATTACATTAGCTTTAATTTAAGATATATATAAAAGTGTCAGACTTTCCGGAACACTTTCAAAATTTAAGTTGAAAAAGTTCTACTTTCTACATGCATTTTTTAGATTTGAACCCCCCTCGTATATAGGGAAATGGTCGGATTTAAAAAAACAGTATGTCAAATGAAAGATGTATATAAATACTACTCCTCATGAAAAAATTGTACTGATCCATACATTTTTCAAAAAGTTATAGCATAATAAAGTTAAAAATGTAAAATACAAAATCGAAAATTTTCACACAAAAATAGCATTCGGTAGCCATTTTCACCGTGAAGATAAAATAAAGTCCGAAATTTTTTTTTTGCATAATAAAGAATATTACATTAGCTTCAATTTAAGATATATATAAAAGTGTCAGACCTTCCGGAACATTTTCAAAAGTTAAGTTGAAAAAGTTAATTTTTTGTGAAAAAGTTGTCATTTTAAATCCTCCCTTGTGGGCAGGTTAAGGGTTAAATTTATGAAAAAAATATTCCAAATGAAAGGTAATGATATTATGCATCTATGTAAAAAAAATTATATTGATATGTTTATTTTTGAAAAAGTTATAGCACTTTTAAGTAAAAAAAATTGAAAAAATTTCGAAAATTAGCGATTTTTAAATTCGTAATTTTTTTGGAGGTTTCCCCCTTTTACGGGGAACGAGGGAATTTTTTTCAATTTTTGAGGGTAATGTCTTCGACTAGATACAATTTGTGATCTTTTGACGTATCATTGAAAGAAATCGGTTTGGTGAGAGCTAAGAAAAAGTGGTAACAGACACAAAAAAAAAAAACACATCATAGTAAAATTATTACCTTCTCAGCTTCGCATCGAAGCCAATAAATGAATAAAAACTTTTTATAGTCATTAAAATTATTAATAAATATTATCGTGTATAAATATTAAAGAATTAAGTATAATTATTTATATGTACCTAATTTAAAAAAATGCAATACATTTAGTGTAGTATTTCATTACTCAATAAAAGTAAGACTAATATCATAAAATCGTTCAATCTGTATAAAATACAAATTTTATCATACAAGATGTTCAATGAGAAAAAGACTCATGTTTAATAAAAACAGTTTTTAATTTTGTTTTCCTTAATGAAATAGCATAGGTGCAAGTAGGTTTTTGAATCATAGTGTGCTACCAAATCATAATGGATTTTCAAAGTAAACATATTTTTGGATAAGAGTTTAATTTTTATCCTTACTCCACTATCGAAAAATCATACAGATAGTTTAATAAAAATATTTTAGCCAAAGAGAAAATTAGATCAAGATTTACCTAGTGTTGAAATTTGTAAATGGAAAATTATAAGCGTGAACGAATTATTTTATAACTAAATGGCATTTTTTTTTATATCATATTTTCTGCAAGATTTCAAAAACACAAAATAAATAAGGGTAATTATACAATAGTGTATTATCCTGACCCTAAATCCGGCTTTGGTCTTCACCCGACAATCAGGTTTTCCTTTTCTTGGAAAATTTATGATACTAAGGCCGTTTAAAAGCAACTCCTTTTGTCTGGATTTCTTACGATATATTCCATTGTATTTAAATTATTAAAGAAATCAATTTTCAACATAATAACAAAATATTAAATTGAAATTTCAATGAAATACATAGTATTTACTATATTCTACTAACACATAGAATTTTATTTTTCAACTAATGCTGTTCTATACATGTTACTAAGAAAAATAAACAAGCAATTTTTGTACGTTTCCAAATATTTAAAAAAAATATTTAGTTTACGTTTTCTGTTTTTAGTTTCTATGGATACAATTTTTTATTTATAAATTAGCAAACATTTTTACTATCTGATCACTTTGAGAATTTTTATACTTTCAAGATTATTATCCATANATCTGATCACTTTGAGAATTTTTCTACTTTCAAGATTATTATCCATATTTTTAATTATTCTCAAAGCCAATGTCTTTGACATCTTTAAGTTTTAATTATTGAAATTATTTGTAACGATGAGCACGACGACGCAAAAATTGTTTGCCCAACTAAAGCGATTACATGTAAACCCTACTATTTCAATTAAGAAAAATAAAAGTCCAGCATGACGATGAGACATGTGTAGTTCAGCGACAAAAAAGTATGAAATAACATTTTTTTTATCATCGGATATATTTGTTATTTTTTACAATAATAGTCATGCTTAATTTGTTAATTTTTGTCTAATATTTTAGCAGGTTACGATAATAACAAAAACTATGTAATAGTTCACATTTGTTGAAAAGGGCAAACACTTTTGATGAATATGAGCCCTCGAAGAGGTGTAAATATTCAAGCTGCGTAGAGTTTCACTCTAATAAATACGGGCCAGAAAATAGAGTAGTGTTGAAGATAAGGGCTACATCTTCAATATCTGATTCAGACGACGAATCGAAAAATACAGAAGATTCAGAAACTGACTATGATTGCAACGGTACAAAATTTGTTTATACACTTTAATGAAAAAATTTATAATAATAATATTTTAATTCGCATTTTTTTTTCTTAAAAATTTAATAGGACTTTTCCCTAACACAGCACGGCCTACTGAAACACGTGATTGTATGTGTCACGAAGAAAAGTTCAAACGCTCACGAAACATGTAAATCGTTGAAGAGACTCGAATACTCGAGTAGTGTTAAGATTTACGTAGCTCATTCTGATGAATTGGAAGACAGAATAGTGTTAAAAATGTCAAAAATATTCAAAACAAAACTAAAATATTAGACATAACTCTAACTNCATCTGATGAATTGGAAGACAGAATAGTGTTAAAAATTTCAAAAATATTCAAAACAAAACTAAAATATTAGACATAACTCTAACTCAATTAATTTAGATCAAATTTTGATGGTTTGTATCATCTCTAATTGCCAATAATAGATACATTATAAAATATTTAATTTTTATGAATGAAAATTTGAAAATTATATATTAGGTGGTTCGATTAAAACTGGATATTCTGTAATAATGTAAACAAAATTGTTATAAATAATAAATTTCAAAACTTCATAAAGTAATTAAAATTGTCAATTACAATCAATACAATAAAGTAAGATGAAATTTTTTTTAAATCCTCCTTTATAAGTTCCTTTAGAACATACTATAAGATTTTTCATTTTTTTAGTTTTTTAAATATGAAAAATGCTTCAAGATATATATCAAACCTTTATTGCATAAAGGTCCAGTGTATCCAGCCGCACAGGAAAATCCATCACTATTTGTGCAGAACAACATGTGTTTACAAAAAGTCATCTTTAGTGAACACCTAGCAGAACAATCAGCTCCATATTTATTTTTACTGCATTCTGTAAACAAAATTAAATAGGTTAATTGTTTTTGAATAATTTTAAATGGTTATCAATATAAATATATATAGATGAATTGATATTCGTAGTCGTTGTTCAAGTGATGACTACTTAAAATTTAACTTAAAAACTTACTCCGAAAAGAAATTTACAAAAAAGTCATTGATCTACAATTAAATTTTTGTTATTTTATTTACTTGGATATATACAAGGTGATCGACTGACTATGTTTCAAGTAATATCTTTAAAAATACAAGTGTTATAAACAGATTTTTATAGATCTTTTATAGGATGTTTAACGAGAAAATTACAATTCATTATTTTTAAAACTTCCAGTAAAACACTACCAGTTTTATGAATAAACATCCCAAGCTTACCTTAGTTATTTTGACTACGTGCATTATCACAGTAAACCGGTAGCTCTTTTTGCTACATAAAATAATAATGTCACCGTTTAGAAAAACTACTGAATTTTTTCATAAAATATCGTAAATTTTAAAGTAGCGTATATTGTTTAAAATTCATAATTTTTTATTTTCTATTTTTGCTTAACATTTTTTTTTTATGACGAAAAAAATTTATATAAAAATAATAAGGGATTGCCATTTGAAAATCTGAAATTTACACAAGTTCTAAGTATAAGTGATGATAAATTGTTCATATACATCTTCTATTTCTAATTAAACAAAAAATAAATTAATTGGTTTTTTGATGTTAAATTTAACGATGTTAAATAAAATCAACGATTAAAATATTTATAATTTATATAAGTTACCGAATATAAAAGACATTATTTACTTACTACCGGAGTCTGTACATTAGGCTATTAGTTTTAAGCCAAATGCTATATATGTGTTTATTATGTCCGAAAAATATCAATTGACTTTTAGGAAACAACAAATATAAATTTAATTCTATTTTCATACAATGTCAAAATATTTTTTTGTGGTAATACATTTGAAAGAATATCAAATTTGAATACCTGAATTTCGTTTTTTTATTTTATAAGCTAGTTAAATACGTATGTTGGCATTTACAAAATAAAGTTAAAGATACTCTTCTAAGGTAAAATAGGTTGGTTAAAAAATTACTGATTAATCAAGATCTATGAAATTAAAAATACCAAAATTAATTTTCTTAAAATAATAATTATTTTAAGAGACATTTGAGTAACCATTATTAAAAGTATCACATAGAAATTTAATATGCGTAGTATTTAGAGCTTAAATCATTTTTGCACAAAATTTCTCTCGACCGATTGTTCGCACATATTCAATTAACAAAACATTAAATTAACATAACAAAACATATTCGCACAATGGTCAGTAATATATAAAGTATCTATTCTTAAATTTAACATGAGCACTTATTTTAATATGTGGAACGTACAAAATAATGAAGGGAACACAATTTTCTCTATGTTATTTCGTCATTTTAAGCCTCAATAATGATAACTATAAGACAAAATTTGTTAGTAAGTATATTAGGAATTCTTCAGAGAGTATCTTAAAATTAAGGGGTAACGAGGGGCCCTTAAATACTTATGGCCGGCCAAGCGGAATAAAACAAAATAGTTAATCTCAATTAAAACAAACAATAAATAACATTAAAGATAATATAAACTCAGCTGAATAGATGAAGTTGTTGAGACTGTATGAGATCTTGTGAAATGTGTCGAGACAAATTTTTTGAGATTTTCCCCATTTAAAAAAATTAAACATTTTTTATCGATATTGTATATACTTTGGGAGTAATCGGTGGTTTATGATAAACAAATCACTTGTTGATGCACCACACTAGAATGCCGTTTTACCTTAAGCCTGTTTAAATCGCTATTATTGATGCGGGAGTGGGTCACCTAGGGGATGACGGCAAACGACACATCGAATAAGTATCGAAAGTAGAAACTAATTAAATAACAAATAACCACATATATTAGAAATTCTTCAGAGATTATCTTAAATTTAAGGGGTAACGGAGGCCCTTAAATACTAATGGCCGGCAAAGCGACATAAAACAACATAGTTAATCTCAATTAAAAAAAAACAATAAATAACATTAGAATTATTATAAAACTCAGCTGAATAGATGAAGTTGTTGATAGTGATGAGTGGTCAGTATGAGATCTTGTGGTAATGGTGTCGAACATCTGAGTATGACGAGTCAGATTGTATATCCAGGCACGTAATGGCAGGTGAGAACAGGCGGCGAAAAAGCAACTACGGCAATGAAGATATTTAGTGATGGTCAGGGTCCAATCACTGGTGGCGTGCAAGGGCACGAGAACTTGAGCACAAGGATAATACAACAAATAATAAAAACTATGGCGTACAATGGCCGAACAATTTACCATTCAAGCGAAGGCGCTTGCTACAGAAAAATAAATGACACATAAAATTAACTGACTGACTTACGACAATGAACTCCCGCAGGGGAATCCGCAAGGATTACGGGCCTAACAACCCCGCGGACCCTAGTTATTTCAGGGGGGGGGTGGCAACACGTACCACTGCTCTTAGCCGGTCATGACTTTGGTTAGTTGGGACCGGTAGGCCTGGGCATACCTGCTTGCTAACAGCGAATAGGCCCCCCTAACCCAGCCATACCAAGTGAAAGGGTTGCTAACTTGTCACAGGCAAGAACCTCCATGTAAGAAAACTCATTGGGTACCGACCTACAGGGACGTGGTAACCGATGATAAAAAAGTGGCTCTGGTCCTCGTAGGCTACCCCACTAACAAGTTGACCACAGAGCAGGGGCTACTCATTGAGTCTTGTGTTGGAGACTTGATACTGTCGGGTACTGATGGAACCGACGTACCAAGGTTTGAAGACACCAGACTCACTGATGGAGCACTTGTGATCAGTGCAGCCCAAGGGAGCTCTCTTAAGTGGCTCACTGACCATGTCAACTTGATAAAACCTTGGGACGGTGCAGAACTCCATTTGGAAGCTTACAACCCGATCAAGTATAAACGGATGGTCACTCACATACCAGGGCTGCCAAAAGAGTCCAAGAAGATCTTGGAAATTTTGGCAAAACAAAACCCAGGGCTGAACACGGCGATCTGGAAAGTCCACCATGAGACAGAGGTTGGCCCGAAAGGACAAACTCTGTTCCTAAGTGTGGACGAAAACAGCATGGTCAAACTGGAGGAACTGAAGCGCAGTCCATATTTTGGAATGGGCAGAGTTTGCTTCACAGATTATGTTGCCAAGCAGCCACCAGCCCGGAAGGATGTGAAAAAATCCACACCTCAAAAATCTGGGAAGAGGAAGGCTGAGGAATCACCAGTGCCACTCGGGAAAGGAGGTAAGGCACAGGTAAGGGGCAAACGGACACACTTTACTCCTGCCTCGAAAGGGAAGGGAGGACGTGTGTTACGTAAGGGAAAGGGACCCAGGAAACCGCCACCCTCAATAACGGCCACAGCTGAGGGGAACCTCTCCACAGATCCAAAAGGAAATGTGGAGAGCGGAACCAAGGCACGGTCGCCACCTGGGGACGGCGGTGGGACACCACCCACAGGGGGGGCNCGGTGGGACACCACCCATAGGGGGGGCTGTGTGACACAGGGACTGTTTCAGACACCTGTATCACACCCAGCACAGCGTGCTTTCTTAAGCGTCAACATCAGTTTATCTGAATGGCTGACAATAGAATTCAATTCACGCAAATAAACCTGCATCACAGTAAAGGGGCCAGTAGTGTATTACTAAGGACCCTAACTGAGAGGCATACAACACCCTTACAAATAGCACTTATTCAGGAACCATGGATAAATGGGGACCAGATTAAGGGGCTAAATCTAAGGGATTTTNCAATTGAATTCAATTCACGCAAATAAACCTGCATCACAGTAAAGGGGCCAGTAGTGTATTACTAAGGACCCTAACTGAGAGGCATA